AACAGATTTTAAGTAAAATTGATATGAAAAAATGTCGTATATGGTATTACCAAGTACAAGTAAAAATTTACACACTGACGAAATACAAGAAATATACTTAAAATCCACGTCTATTTCCCAAATTTATATATATGGATAAACTCCTACTCTTTATAGGCCATTAATCAGTATCTTTATCTTTTTCTTTAATTTCATGTTTACAATTAACATTTTTAGAGATTAAAAAAATATCAACATCTCTTACATATTAGAAGTATAAAACTTAAGTTAAACAAAACTAAATACATTTTACATAATATTTAATTAGTTATCCAATGTCTATAAATTTTTACCAATTATTTTTTCTACCAAATTAATTTATTGCGTTTACCTACTCATTATCGAGATACTTAAATACATAAAGTACACGAATAACTAATGAATTTGATTTATAAACGAAATGCTCAGCGAACCGCAAGCTACATGCACCATGTCGCCGTCGGCAAAATATTTCGTAACAAAGCTACGCTATATGCCGCACATGTGTTTCCTGTGATATCAAAATGTAGCTTTTAAAATATATTTGACGTCATCATGTAATAACTAGGCTGCTACCTCAGCAATACATGAGTAATTGTAATACACAAATCCCGAATGATTTTAAAAAATTTTATCGCCTACGTTTATCAGGGATAATGTAGGATGAAAGAATTTTTCAGTAGTTACGGAGTTTATTCAATACAAAGAGACAAATAATCAAATCATTCTTTTGTATAGTAAGGTTATATCTATTCCATACAACAAAGTCCTCCGTAATTATAATCACTACAATAAGACGTTGGTATTCGGCGTATAAATACTTATTTCTTTGAAGTTTTGAGTCAATTGAAAGAAGTAGGAATGCAGAGAAGTCCACGAGAAATAGATGACTAATAACTTGCGTTTTTTCGGTAAATTTATTGAATTTTATATTGAACACTTCCATTTTACTTTATTTTGAAAAATAATACTATATTTACAAACCACAAGTGACAACGAACAGTAAAAATTTAATAAAATAAACTGTAATTACGGAGACCATATCGAGAGACTTGTAACAGATTCCGCTAAAATTTGTAATATTAGAACTGTATTTATGTATATTACAAAACAAATACACAATTATGACATACCTCGGATGAGGTATTAGATATTTGCGATGTTCCATATGAAAATTTTGTTTTACCTATTGGAATATTTAAAGTTTACGGTAAATTAATTTGAAATCTTCATATTATGATTATTTAAATGCGATAAACAAGCGACGCTAAATATATACAAAATCATGACAAATTAATGATTTAAAAGAGTTTATTATCATACTTAAACTATGCGAAGATTATTGCATGCGAAATGAGAAGTATAAGTTCCCGAGAGATTGAACCATGACCAATGAGTGTAGAGTCTCTTGTTTACGATAATTACCTAACCGTTTTATCCATTAAAAACTAGAACTTTTAATAAAGCAAATTTAAAAGTGTGTTTCATTAATTTCTTACGTTTTCTTTATAACTATAAAAAATTAAATATTCTTAACGCGGTAAGTGATGCACTTGAGAACGGTTGGACTATTGATTCGAATAATATCGTATCTTGTTAAAGTGTCTCAAAAATGTGAATAGGGAGAAAAACAGAAGAATTGCAATAAATAAAAATATTCTGAATGTGCGCATACCACGGTAAATTAACACGGTAAATATCTTCACTTAAGAATTTTACTAGAATTATTATAATCTTACCTAACGTTAACCTACTATTATTTATACATATAACGTTCAGATTATAAATGATCACCCTATATCAATCCGGATACAACTGGATTTGCACGCAGTAGACAGTTAAATTTACTTATTAACAAAACTCTTTTTTATAATAATTTATGAATAAACTATACATTGATACAAAGGAATTGACTTAGGTATCTTAAAAGAAAAATGCTATGATTAAATTTGCAAAGAGGTTCCAAGATATATTCCGTTGTGTTGAAAATGAGATATCTATCAACTCAATACTTTTTTCATTAGTTCATATTTATCGTAGCATTTTTAATTACACTGCTTATTGATCTGTATATTCCCATTTAAAAGACAGAAAATATATTAATAAATATACAAAGTAATAATACTTAGACAAAATAACATAACAAGGATGCTTTAAATGTCTGCGAGACAACCAAAGTCAAAACTGGAAACAAAAAAAATCGAAGTTCCGCCACACCTACCGGCTCTACAAAGGTAATGGGCCGGTTATTTCAGTGCTTGTTTATTTACAAAATATCACTCCGTTTGAAGGCGGACCATCAAAATGAGTCGTAAACCTGAAAATTCCATAAAAAGTCGTGTTGACGACCTCTGTAATTGAACCCCGCTCTTTGTAGCAGAGACAATAGACGGAACCCGGCAGCAATCGATTAGAAAATAGGTGAAAGAATCGAAACTAACTGTCCAAATCAGACACTGAGTTTTTTGTCAACGAAAAAAGTATTTCTGCCCAATTAATTCACTTTTTAAATGCTAAAATAATATTATAAATATTTTTCATGGTTCTGAGGGTTAGTCTCAGCTAAATAATGTAATCAGAATTCTAATAGAGGTAATATTTCGATTTATTAAAGTATGTTGTTTAAAACTCCGTTAAGTTATTGACGAATGTATTTTATTAGTAACTCAAGTGAATTGTTCATAGCATAGCAGAATAAAAAGTAATATATTTACATCCCAATTAATTCATCTTTATAATGCAGTTTTTTTTTATATAATTGTCATGGTTTTGACGATTAATAAATTACTACAGATAAAAAACATTAAAAATTTATTCAATTTTTACTTTAAGTTATCCCGGTTGGTTTCCGACCGTACAATTAATATTGATTTAAAACGTCTCTAGGTTGTTTAACAAAACAGATTAAAAATACCGATCAAACAATAATAAAAAAAAAGGCCTAATGAATGCTGGCCGCTAATAAAAGAGTTAGAGAAATGAAGTCAGTCAACACCCCGTTCCGTTCTCAGCGTGGATGGTAACACGATCCGCACTCGTTTATCTGCTGTCGAGCAATTATTGAAGCGTGAAAAGGAGCGTCCTCTTATTATTTACAGAGCGTTTTGTAATGCGGGCGTTCGAGTTTATAGAAAAAGATCGCATTTCCTAATGCAGTTGCATCATATTCGTCATAGAATAACAGCTGTGTCATTGCATTGGGCTTCAATTATGAACCACGGCAGTTTTTAAGTTAACTTGATTAAAGTAACGTCTACATTACTAAAAATCATTCTCTTTTAACTTTAAACGTTTTTTTTTTCATTTGCAATATACTTTGACTGCTTAAATCACAAAAAAAAATACCAACAAAGGAGGATTGATTACAAAATTGAAAAGATACTTCTTTTAAAATATTATATTGTGTAACAACATGTATGTAGAAAAGTAGTATTTCACACAAATCACAATTAAAGAAATAATCACGAATTACCATTTTGATAGAGATGTTTATCATGGAAACACAAAATTTATTACGGAAGTGTTCCTTAAAAATGTCGATTTCAACAATACTTATTTTCTATAATATCTGTTATAAAATCAGCTTTACCACGAAGCTCTTTTTTTTAACAAATAAAATATCTACCTACTTGACTTGCAAAAAATATAGAAAAAAATTATACTGTTGATGGCATTAGCAGAATCGTAATGGTGGAAAAATGCCAATACAGATTAGCTTGATTGAAAGACCGCCGGGATTACGAATGTTATTATTTTTTTTTTGTTAGTATAGTTACATGTTGAATGGAGAATGTACTAATCGATAAGTTCTAAAAATAACTTATAATGTATTCAGTTGAAAATTATAAAAACTGAAACATATTATTTTGATTTACCGCTTTAATTTATTGTAATGTCCAAGCAATTGTGTTATATTTGATTATAATCCCTTGGTAGGTTAGCAATTGGTAAATGACAGAAGTCATTTATAAACAGCTGCCAATTTTCTTACTGTTAATTAATTCCACAGTTAAAAGGATACAATTGAATTAAGTTTAAATAATTTTAAAAGTACCTATAAATGATTAATTCATTTGTTAATAAAAATGTTTACAGGAACCGTTATATGTTAGCGATGATTATAAAGCTAAAGTCCGTTTACTTTCTTATCGAAATAAGAAATATGACATCATAACTAATTAGGTTTATATTTAACTGGAGTATATTTAACAATGATTTCATAGAGTCAAACAAATTGTGAGTCAGCCTACGAGCGTCCTGGGCATAGAGTTTCCGCTCACCAATAAACAAACATTAAATATTACAAACAACAAAGCGTCAAATGTGAGAAAAAATTAAAATTAACGCCTCCCAAACGCGCACTTCCCGCGGACATTACATTTTTAAAATCACATTCGAGCAACGCCTATATAGGCCTACAGCGACTGTGCTCCCACAACAAAAACAAGATTTTTTAATCTAACTTTAGCGTTTGTAAAAATTACTATTTAAAAATTTACACGGAGGCCGCTAATTAACAGAGATTTAACCCTTCCGTCGCCGAAGCTCACTTGAATATTTAACCCGGCGGAAATATTTGGCGCGTATTAAAACGTTAAAAATTAATGCTCTCCGACCTCTCCCCGCGGAGCAGTAAACTTACATTTTCACTTGATGACTTGTCTCTTGCTTATTCTTGTTATTAATATGTGGAATAAAGTAATGTTAAGCATATTTTTCTATCAGTTTGATATCATTATTTTGTCAAAAAATATAAAATTGAGAGTCAGAAAAATAATTTGTAATTTTTGATAAAAAACGCCTTCTTGATAATTTATATAAAACTAATTACGAAAAATAAGTTATTGCAATGAAAAATAAAACAATATTGTGCAAAAAAAAGTTCACTCTCACAATAACTGGAACTCAGAAAATGCCTAATGCCTAGACGTCTATAAACATTTGGAATGCAGTCACATCACGCATACGGGTATAAAACGTACCTTGCTGTAGTGCAGTCCCTGTAGAGCACGTCGAAATCCTTGCAGGAGAGTAGTTTGCAGCGGTTCACGCCCGGCTGGATGGCTCCCAGGCCGCGCAAAATGCGCACCTGTTCCACATTGCACACCAGTGGCACTATGTCCAGTCTCTTAAGTTTCGTATACACTGTGTGCAACCCGCCGACCAGGTGCTTGAGGAACAGTTCGAACGCCTGCGGCAGGCATAACATCGTGTCGCCTTGTATAATAAACGCTGCGACTTTCTGTCCACGATAGTCAACAAGCTTGCACTCGTTAGCGGAAGGGTCGGATGTAGAGATGGGCGGTGGGCTGCCGTATCGCGGCGGGCCATGGTGATGGGCCGCCGCCATGAGCTCGAGGGGCGAGTGGTGCATCATCTGTAGCGAGCCCAGCAGGCCGAGTCCCGGGGGCGGCAACGGCAGCCGCGGTGCCAGCAGCTGCGGCGGGCTTAGCGCGCGTGCTGGCGACGCAGCCTTCACCCTCGGCGAGCCCCCGGAGGAGCCGCTCACCTCGCTCGCGGTCGACGCTGAGTCCACGGCGGACTCCATGCTTCGTGATTACTGACTACGCGCGCATCACACGCCCGTCGCGCGCGCTGTTCCGCGCAACAATAAATAAAAAGCCGGAGGAAAACGAGGGCGCGGCCGCGTGCGCGCGCCCGCCCCGGCGCCCGCGTCTCATTGGTCCGATGCCGGTCCGCGTTCGATTCGATTGGGTGCCGCCGCTGTCGCGGTGTCTCCGCCCTTTTTTCGTTGCGTTCCGATCGGAACGCGCGAAGAAACGTTCCTGTTTCTTTTGGGTGTTGTGTAGAGCGGCCGCGCGCCGGCCGGGTTGTATTGATAAGAATGTCACCGGTAATCAATATGAGCCTAGATGCCGCTGCGGTATAAACGCGTACTACTCGACGCCACGCGGCTATATACGCGTATAAGTTTTGTTTCATGTGACTTGTACTGTAATAATCGAATGCGTAAAGATTGAGCAACTGAATTAACAACTTTAACTACTATCTAAACTTGATTAAACAAAGTTTATATCTATTTTTATTTAAAGTTTAAACTTCTATATAATTGGTAGTAGTAGTATAATTGGTTGGTAGAGTTACTTTCTTGTAAGATGACTTCAACCTTTAGTGACTTAATTAAGTTTTAACTTATAACAGCTGATTTGCGTTTCATGAAATTGATTTTAAGAATAGTTTAATTGCAAAAGTAGAATGTTAAAATTATACATCGAATTATAACAAATTGTGAACTGTCACAGTTGGACTATGGACAATTAGATAAATACAGACAACTTTTAATATTTGGAAAATAAGTAAAAAAAAATAACATAGCTTCTGAAGATATTACTTATGAAGTGATTAAGAAAAATTTAGACATTAAATAATTATTTTACATTGAAAGCACAGTTTTATGAGGTTATAAGTTAATTACCTATTTATAACTAAAACTACCAGCTAAATAACCATATAACGACACTCTTTAATGGATTTATCATAAAATTATTGATGATATGTACTCATTATAAGGTTTTATTTGTAATAGGTTTACACCTATGATTTCAGTTGTTTTATTTCTCTAAAGTAAAACATTAGTTCTAAATTATTTAAAATAGATTCTTAAGAATTTTTTTCAGGCTTTTATTATTATTGAAATAGCTAAACCTAAGTACGAGATATACATTGTGCTTACCACTTCAGTAAATGGCTCTATGAGTGTCCTTATTTCACGACAATCACAATGCTATTGGGGTCAGTAATATTAAAACAATGCCCGATCTCTTTATTACTCATTACATAAAAGCTTCAATACATCCTGTACCTAACTTTGTTTTACCTTCAAATTATTACGTTGGAAAGGAAACAGATATTTAGCCTCCTTGTAATAAGACCGATATTATATTAATCGCCAATTTAAAACGAAGAATAGCGAACTGGTGTAACGCAATGTTCTTGTTAAAAGTATACTTATTCATATAAAACACCTTTATAAGACAAGTTACATTGTATTTCATTGTCAACAAAGTTTTCTTGAGATCTTATTAAAGTTATATAAGGATGCTTTTAACCCTCATTGTTGTTAGAAGCTCTGTTTAGTTTCTTGGTATTACTTCAGTTATGAAGCTTCTATTCAATATCAAAAAAACAAAAGAAATTACATACCTATAAAGATGTAAATTTTTGTTTCTATTTGTAAGTATGGAAACTTTATGTCAAATATTAGTAAAATGGAACTGCCTCAGTCATAAATAAGGATTGAATTCTAAAAAAAAAATATACTGATATCGAAAACATTAAATATGAATTCGAAAATTAGGTATATCTACTTAATTCAAAAAGGAGCCCGCTTTTTTTTCAAATCAAAGAAAATTTAATAGAAAATGTTATTAAATTACAAATGAACCCAAACAATACTTTAGTCAATTACATATAATATTACAGTATTTCTTTATTTCACTCATTTGCAAAATTATTTTTTATTCCAGCTTCTTTTGTTATTAATTAAATTCAAAGACATAAAATTGTATATTAAAGAGAATGACATTATTAAAGATCATAGTATTAAATCTCTCCTCAATAATTCTTGATATAAATTGTATATATCAAGTTGTAAATATAAATTGTAGATATAAATTGTATGTTTTCGTTGTGATATTAATATAATCTATTAATAATTGTATGTTTTTGTTTAAAATAAGTTAGTTCGTTTCATTGTATCGACAATGAGACGAACTAACTTATTTTAAAATTCACTGAAAAAAAAAGACAGTGGAATTAATGATGTCAGACTTTAACAGTAAATTGAACCGTCTCAATATAGTAGTTTGGACAATAAAATAAATCATATTATATTTGATTAACTTTGCATTCACAATGTTATACTGAAAAATAATCTTAATGAAAAATTCTTAGAAAATCAAATGATTCAAATTAATTTTCATTTAAACAGTAAAATTATTATTTACTATTTCAAACAATAAAATTGAAGTGACACTACAATTCCAATTATTGATCTTCTTTAACTTCCAACTTTATTGCTTTCATGTGGTCTACAAAGGTGAAGTTTAAAAAAAACATCCACACGTGAATCCTGGTAGGGCGCAGCAAGTTACATATAAATATAGGACATAAAATTAAAATAAACTAGCATAATAACTAAACGAAATATCTCTGGATAATGGAGAGAAATTATATTATTAACTTTATTTAATATATATTGATTTAATTTTACCAAATTGCTTATAATTTTACTGTTTGAAAACAAGGTAATAATTTGTGTTGTGTTTTGTATTACTTTTACTGTTTTTCTATATTTAAAGTTATATTTAGGTTAACGTTCATTGTTTTACTGCTTTTTTCAGTGTACCTATACTATAAGTAATTATTTATTTTTCCCATCATAATCAAGTAACGGAAAAAAATAAAGAAAATGCTTCACGTCGAGTACCCACTATCAATCTTGTTTAAGAGATAATGACATGTCATCTTTGTACAAAACATGTATGAAATTAATAAAACAAAGATCGTCTTATCTTTATTGTTTGAAATACAAATACATTAAGTACGTGAAAATTATTTCATAGTTGAAACTTAAAATATTTAAGTACCTATAGTCATTGATTTAATTATTGTCATTTTTTCTGTAAATTCTGTTACTCTTACAGCTGGTTGCACAAAAGTCCATTACAATTTACATTAGTTTAAAACGACATTACCCATACAAATTTGACATCCATTAAAGCTTAAAGGCATCATTAAATCATAATGGACATTTGTGCAACTGAGCATTTATACTGTCATAATTTATACAGTCAACAGCCATGCAGTAGCTCTACCACGTAACTGATAACCCTAACTGATCTGTTAGATCGAAATCCTAACAGATCAACTGTCAACAGACCAATTGAGATTGATCTGTCAAGTCCTAGACCAATCCTGATAATCGGATTAGTCTAGGGTTGGACAGATCAATTCTTATTGGTGTGATTGATAATTTAATTCTTATTGGATTGCTTACAGTTGATCTGACAGACCTAGCAGATCAGATATATTTGGCATATCAATCAGAGCTTCAGTTACGTAGTAAAGCTGCTGTTGCTGCTTACGGTTAATGTATATATGAGAGTTTCTTTATTCCAACATAACTTTTGAAAGACGTAACGGATATTAACGTTACATCAAGGATGATGTTAAATAAAAAATCTATTAAATATTTGATTTAAGTATAACAATATGTGTATCAAGTTAAAGGTCTATCAAATATATATATTTCATATATATTAACTGGTCATTAAAAGGAATAAATTTAAATTAAATAATTAATAAATCCCATTGCCAAAATCTAACTAAAAATAAAACAAACAAGTTGTATTATTGGCTTGGCTAAACAAAACTCTTTGATTAGAAATGAACGATTACATTTTGGCAGACATTTTTTGTTATTTATTTTTTCAGCCATTCTGAATCGTTCTCTTCGAACTGTTATCATAATGGGAATGGATTAATTTTAATAGAAAAGCATTAATATTATAACACAGAAAAAAATAAAAACGACTAATAATCACAACGAAAACTATATCACTTTTAGACTTATAGAAAGTATATTTTTGCCTTACAAAAGAGTAAATGTAATTATTTCAAACAATCTCAAGTTTTCATGTTTCTTATACATCGAATATTGGCAGAACGTTTACACAAAACTAAATAAGGCTATATGTACTAAATTTAAAAACTATATACTAAAGTTCGTCGTTGATACTATAGTTTTTATTACTCTATACGTTATGATTCAAGAATAGAGCTCAAGGTTGTCCAAAGCTGTCAAATTTTTACAATCGATATTTAACAGTTATGTTAAAAAGACGTTAAAAATACTTTTTTGGTACCCCTGACGACCGATTTCTGAATTGAGAAAAATACAAAATCTCAACAGATTATTCTCAATAACTTAAGTTTTTTACTAGTTTTATCAAATTGCTATCAACTAATCATTAAAAAAATTATAAATCAGTAATAAAAACCTGTTTAAAAGACATCCATAATAGCTTAAGCACGGTTTGAGATGTGCTCATCTTCAGATTCTCAATTCAGAAACCGGGTGTGAGACTCGACCTCATACCAAAGCAACAGCTTTAAAGGTCAGTTGCACCAACGTCATTAAGGTTTTATGACGCCTTTAAGCTCTAATAAATGTCATATTTGTATCGGTAATGTCACTTAAAACTAATGACAATTTTGATTTACGTTTGTGCAAATGGCTGTATGAGTGTTATATTGTTTTATAGATAATTATTCCAACGTATTGCTTTAATTTTCGATATACTTACCCGTCGTTTACTTTTTAATTCATATTTTTAATGTAATAACCAAAAATATTATTGTTACATACATAATAATAATTAAAACGGAATGAAAAAAAAACATATTCATTGAAAAAATTGTATAATATTGTATGTATAGTTTAACTGTTAGAATAATTCAATAACGCCTTTTTTTATACGATAATACATTATGGATTCCCCTTTATAAAGTCACTATCAGCCCATAATAAGGAGCGGAATATTTTACATCCAGATAATCTCTAGTTCTTTTTATCAACAGACAAACAAAT